AGCAGAAATGAGCTGTCCCCATTGCCATTTAAAAGTGATTCAGTTTTGTTCAGTTCATCTGACTTTAATTACAGTTCAAGTAGATCTGTACTTTCTTTTCACTAGTGAGGAGAATCAGCATTATTCCTTTTATTTTGTAGTGGAAAGTCACACAAAACTTGGTTACTTTAGGGCTTTAATAAAAATGTAGAAGAATGTGAGATGGGTGCTCTTCTCTGACATCTTCAGAGCTTCTTACCAGCAAGCAGCTGTCGGACAATAGGGGTGATGAGTGTGTACTCTGTGAATGGGATCAGTGCACCTCCAGCCTCCTAACAGGCATATCTCTTCTATGTTATGTGGATGGAGTGGACAGTAGAATTAAATGTCTTTCTGTTTACTTAGACAGAAATCAGAGGTGAAAAAGATGCGCTCACTTACTAACTCTGTACGGGGTTGGGGAGCAGAGGGGTTGTCGTTTGTGGATAAGACCCTGAAAAGTTTCTGTAGGTGCTTGATAGCCAATTCTTGTTACTTTTTAAAGAGACTTAGGGGTGTGTTTCACTCTGGCTCACTTGAACTTTTCTGCCTCCATCTTTTGTTGCCATCGTGTTTCTTTGGATATCAGAAATCAATGATAGCAACAGTCGGGACAGCTTTCCACTAGCTGAAGGTGGTTTATTTGACGATGCCTTCATGCATCTGGACACACTGTTCCAAACCACCTTCATGGGAGACTGATCTTCAGTACAATTCACAGGGCCCAAGTCTAACCATCAGCCTGACTTATTCAGAAATACAGGCCAGCACTTTCCAACTTCTTACTTCACCTTCAGGAGCAGACCTGTGTTGACCCTGAGGCTTTAGAAGAAAAAGAACCACTGCTTCCGCTGGTTGATCATCTCACTGCTATGTTTTTTTTGAAAAAGCCATGCAAGCCATGCCTACTATATGTCATAAGTGGGACTGCCTTTTTCCTCTGGAATTTGGCCTGAATTCTCCTGTTTTGAAGTTCCTGATTCTTGAGGTTGGGTGTTGTGTGTACTGTTCCACTTTTGTCCACCCGCTGGTATAATTTAGTAAATCTGTCATTTATGCTCAATATAACAGAGTCATTTAACTGCAGGAGCTCACCAGTACAATTAACCCTGTTCCGTCAAAATGAGGAGCTGATTATCTTGGCATTCACAGGAGCACAGAGCACAGTTAGAGTGCTATGGTTTCTGGCCCTCCCGGAGCAGTATTGCAGTCAATTGATTATTTTGTTAATTTGTTCTGCATCAGTATCCTGCTGGTTTATTATCATCCAAGTGACTTTATGCGCCATGCGTAAGTACGAGTATATTAAAAATCAATACTTGAACCTTTTTTCCTTGTAAGGATCTTATCATCCATCCTTGATACATGACCTTCATTCTGATTACAACACAGCTAGTAACTTTTACATTATTTAGTCACATGCTAATAAAGTAGATGCTCAGATGTTGCTCTCTACGTAATCCTGTATCCTAATGAAGAAGGAATAAATGAATTAAGAATTAAATTTTAAAAAGGCTGTTATTGCTGATAAATAAGACTAATTTTGAGACAGTAAAATTCATGCTATTTTAGTAAGAAAATCTCGTTTCTTCACTAGGTTCTAGTAAGTATCATGCTTCACAGGCTCAAATCATTTAGAGATGCAATTATCAGAAGCCTGAGTCTTACGAACGCTGTTTTTCCTGCTTCAGTTAGAGAAACAAGTATTTAAAAGATGGCATGAGGTTGCATTGTGCGTTGGATTGAGGGCTGGATTCCAGGTCTGAACTTGACACAAGTATGTGGGATTATGGCTGTTATAAGATCAGAATGTTTTCCAACGATCTTCTACCACTGCACATGCAAAGATGTTCTCTCTTGTATGTGTGTTTGAAACATACTACCTGCGACGTGATACTCAGTGCATTTATGTTACTGATGTCACAGGCAGGCCTGCTCTTCTTTAAGAAGAAAACCGTAAGATAGAAGCAGAATCGGATGTGGTCCCTCTCCCGATCTAGACATGCATGGGTATGGTATGGAATGAAAGCACAAGTTTCCAGCTTTGGAAAAACACCATTTTTGTCATGCAGATACCTAGTTGGCAAGAAGACTAGGATTCTCCTGAGTCAGCTATCTGCAGCCCTAAATGGGTAATTCTCCACTCAAATAATTAGATTTGCATCATTCTTTTCCAATGACAAGTTTGTTCTATTGGGGTTTTTTTTTTCTGGAATATATGGATGTTATCTGATCTTGGGATCATTGCTTTCTAGATGCATTTTCATCAGGAGAAAGGCAAGTTCTTTCTTCGTGCAGGGTTATACCAGGCAACTGAATGAGGCAATTTGTAGCTTATGTAAGTGAGAAGTTACCAAGGCCTTACCCAAACCTTTCAACTCATTTTATGACAGAAGTGCCTAATCTTTTCTGGATGCGATTGTAAAAGTTACCATCATTACTGAACACGAGGAAAAACTCCTTGTTTCTGCAGTGAAAAAGAGGCCTCAGAATTTCTGAGACTGTTACCTCTGTGGATGGTAACATCCTGTACGCCTTTTCTCCGTGTAAAACATCCAGAAAACAGCCTACGGAGTGGTTTGAGTTCAGAGGAGGCTATACCTCCTTGAGGGGTATATTTCCTTGTCTCAGGAAATTATAATATAATGTAATATAATATAATTCAAAAATAAATTATGTTTTATTGTGAAGATGGAACAAATCAGACAAATGAGGTGATCCTGAAGAGGGAAACCAGCCTGTGCTATTTCTGCAAATTGCTCCCCCGCTTCCTCTGGGTTGTCTTAAAGAAAAGCCAGGGCTCCGAAGCATTGCTTTTTAATTAGTAGAAATCCTTTTGTACTAAATCCTAATTCAGTGCCTTAATGCAGCAGGTCCTGCAGAGCCAGCAAGCTTGCGTGGGAGCACAAACACATGCAATCTTTTTCTCTGGCATCCCTCTAAGTGAGGGTTGGCTTCTGTTCGTAATTATTTTCTGTGGTGACAGCTCGGGGTTTGCAGTCGCAAGCAGAGAGGCAGGGGGGGTAACGGAGGAAGGCACAATGACAGGGGATTGCTCTGTTGTCTCCATGGCATCACTGAGCCGTATCTTAGAGGTACCAAACAGTGTGCTTATACCTTTCGTTACTGTGTTCAGATACCTGGTGCCACTAAGTACACCTCGTATGGGTCCTACTTAATCCCTGTCCTCTTTCCAGCTTATTTTGTATTAGTTTTTTTCTTTCTTTTCAATCTGCTCCACTGTTAATGAACCTGCACAAGTAATGGAAACACATGTATAAATGAAAGCACCTACCAATTAAATATTTTATCATTTGGTACCTTTAATTAAGGAGTTAGAATTCATGCAAGTAGATTTTTAGAAACATTTGATACTGCCTTTTCAGGGCATGCTGCCCCATCCTGCTCACTAGGTTTTCAGGGTTATAATGAAGCAATATAACTGTGAGGAAAATGGCTTTTAGCTCCCATCAGTTAGATCCCAGTTTCATCTCAGCCTTAGGCACCGCACTGAGTACTGTCTTTTGAGTCTCCTGCTTTAATTAACGGAGACAGAAGGACACCACCAAGAATGACTCACCTGACCTAAGATCTGATTTAGCCTTTGGATGAATTTCTCCTCTGTTGATTTTGACTGACACTACATGAGTTACTGCGACACAGCAGTGTAACTCCTGTATACGTCGTCTTAATCAGAAATGCCAAAGCTACACATGTAGAAGTGGTTCTCCGAGTTAATAGATTTATTTAATAACTATGCATTTTTTTTAAGAAAATGCCTAAGGAAATGTTAAGGGGTTTGCTGCCCTCTTGCTGCACCTCAGGGTGTACTTAGTTCATGGTTTTAAGCATTCCTCTTTGATCAAGAGGGCTAGATTGCCCCCCCCCGCCCCTCTTCCCCTCCATTAAATGCTGGGACTATCTTGGTTCCCGTTGTTAGGCTAAAGAGTACAAAGAGAGTATGCCAAACTTGACAGCACTTCTACAAGGTCTAGAAATGTGTTAGCACATACTGTAACAACAATTACAACTGTTCAGTGATCTCCTTTAGGAGTGCTCTTTTACATGGGTACAAATAAGATTATTATGGTCTGACGTGTAGTTCCTGCCTCCAAAGATAATTTTGTGTCTAACTTTTCTTGTTTTCTACAGTGCTTAGTTAAATGTGTTTGTGGATTTGCTGTGCATAAAGGAAAGGCTCTCTAAAAAACTATGGCTACTTGTGTTTCATAACCAGTATTTTTATATTTTACGCTTTAGCCTGTCTGGTCAGTTTAGTGGCTTTTTTGCCATTTAGTTTTTCTTGCCAATGTATTTATTTATCACTTGTTTATTACAAAGATAATCCCTGAAAGTAGATCGCTCTACAAGATGTGTTTTTTGAGAACCTCAGGAATATGATGAATGCACACAACCCCACATATTTTTCTCCCAGCAAATCTCTTTGCAAGGAAAGGCTATCTAATACTCTGAAAATGCCCTGGAGAAAAATCTGAAAAAGCAAAAGCGTGGTCGAGACCTGCATCCTCATTTTATCAAATGCCTGTAGCTTGGAACAGTGACATTGGGAATTAGTTAAATAATTTTAGCTTCTAATAACAACAGCGTTTTGGTATTGGCGGCTATGAAAAAGAGAAGTATGGCAAGAAGATCCATGACACTAATGATACCTGAATAGAGGCTCTTCCTTATGCAAATTCTCAGGTATCTAAAACATGTTCAAGCTGTAGCTTTTCTCCAGATAGGACACTTCTGGGTGTCTCTCTCCCACGTAGCCACTGTACTAGTCCTTGAGCTCTCTACATCTTTGCAAATTTTGACTGAAATCAGCCACAGGTTTAGAATTTGCAAATGAATGACACGGACACAAATAATGTGATTTCATAATCCTTATCTGTCATGAAAACAAGGCTAAAAAAATCTTTGCATCTGTTAAGTGGTTAAGACTCTTGAGCTAAAGATGTAAAAATTAATCCTTCCAGGTAAAGAAAGCTGTGCAACAGGAAGGCTTCAGCAGAAGGAAGCGAGGATATAGAGACATCAATGACATTGACATCAACATGAATGATCCTTTATTTACAAAGCAATGGTACCTGGTAAGTTTTGAAAGAAAATCACAGTAATCATAACTAAATAACTGGCATTCAAGCCATTCTGTGCTGTTGCAATGTTTTGCAAGAGTTCTTTCCAAATATGTCACAAGAACTTGGGAGTGGATCCAAGGCTCTGTGCTGTTGTTTTTAACTGTACCTCTTTAATGCTGGGAAGACCCAGCACATTTCAAGAGCTAAATTTCATTTCAGTCAACGGAAAGATCCTTAGAAGGCTTGAAAGAGAACTGTATTGGTGTCCTGTGGGCATTCCTTGTGTGCTGATGTGACCCCTAAAACTGCATATGAATCATGTGTTTGAGCTGTTGCCAGGTAAAATATTGTTATAGAATTATAACAAAAAGTTCTAGTGCACTGGCTAGAAAAAGTTGAGGTTTTTCTTTTCTTATAGAAATTTGAATATTAATTGATTTTCATCTATCAAAAGCTGAAAACTGATGAATTTTGGCTTAAGCTAATGTCAAAAGAAATTAACATTTTGCTAAATTGTTTCATTTTTAATGTGTCATATTTTATAGGGAGAAGTCTTTAGTCATGAAAGAAAAATTAATTTTTTACATAAAAGTTGCCAGAATGATATTTTTCTATTTAAAAAGCTGATAAAGTAATTCCAGTCAGTTTTAATATTGCAACCTATTTATGATAAAATACTTAGTAAATGCAGTACTGCCTTGTTAACTTAAGAAGGGTCTTTTTGCTTAAGAATAATGTTTCTTATTCTCTTTCCTTTTAATCCATTTCTTATGTCTTATGAATCCATCCAATATGGCTATTTTGGTTTTTTTTTTTTCTCTAAGACAAGAGTTTTCAGATGAATGGGGGCACATTAGCATGAATTGAGACTTCATCTTTGGTGAGGCGATAAACTAAAGTGTGGATTAATTCACTTCTTTCTGGTACTTCAATCAAAATTTTGCGGTGATAAAAATAACAAAATTTTTATGAAGCTATACATTTTTTAGATTATAAAATACACTAAAATGTGTTTTGAAATGAGATGCGTCTGACACAAAATTGAAAAAAATTCTGAACAGGAAAAGCCATACTATTTTTCCCACAGAACTTGAGAAATTTGCAAATAAGGTTGGTGAACATGAGTAATGCCTGAAGATACAAGGGGTTGCCTGTACTGCAGAACCATAGAATCACACACACAAGGTTGGAAAGGACCCTTGAAGTTCATCTAGTGAACTTTTCTGCTTAAAGAAGGGCTAACTTGGTTATCAAAGAAGTTGTTGCTGGTACTAAAACCATGATCATGAATTTCAATAGATCCTTGCTTTCAAGAAAAAAGCATTTCCTGCACATAAAAAAAGTCCTCTGTAAAATCGATTGATCTAACTTTTGTTTGAATTGACCCACTGCCCTCACACGCTTAAGTAGAAAAGTCCTTTTTTTGGCTCCAAAAGATTCAGTGTTTAATCAAATCTTGTAAACCACAAAGAAGTGAATTTCCCAGGGTTTTTTTTCCCCCCCGCCCCGTTTTACCACTGCATTATTGCAGTCAATATGATTAGGTACAGATGTGTACTCCAAAGCAAATGGCATGTGTTTGCCATACCAAAGATACATGCAAAGATATCAATAAAAATTCAGTGGCTGTGGAAACATGCCACTATTACTTTATCTATTAAGTAAAAAAGCTATTCTTCCTTTTTCACTGATGTATTAGATTAACACTGGTCAAGCAGATGGGACTCCTGGCCTTGACCTTAATGTAGCTGAAGCATGGGAGCTGGGATACACGGGGAAGGGAGTTACCATAGGAATTATGGATGATGGTGAGTGAAGACTGCATGCTAATTTAGTATTTTTAAGTAGCTTTTTCCATGTAATCAAAGTCAAAAAAAGATTAAAAAGTAATAATGGATTGCTTATAGTAGTGAGACTACCAGCCTCCATAAAGACTTTGAGATCTTCAGGGAAAATATGTTATAAAGACTTCATTAGGGATACTGAAGCATGGATATCCAAGCATTGCAAGTAGCTTGCAATTACCACTCAGATATCTTCCAGGGCATGCTATAATGGCCATTAAGCCAAAGGAAAGACTCCCCTTGACTTCTGTAGGCACTGACTGGGGGATGTAATTGCTATGCAAAAAGTACTTAAGAAAACGTTTTCTGGGTTACATTATTCTCAAAGTCATATTTGATAGCTGAAGTAATTAAACACTTTCATGCTGAATGTCAATAAAGACCTGCATATTAAAAATATTACTAATTTGACGCTAAGTTCAGGGAAGATCAAGATAAAAGGTACAGTTGAAGTCACAGCTGTTCTATTCATGGGTTCCTTGCTGAAATACAGGAATTCTGTGCAGTCTCTCAACGCTTTTCTTTGGGCTAAATTTTGAATGTTTTCCTTTTATGGTGACTGAATAATGTTAAAAATAAATAAATAGAATGTCTGGATCCACATATGTTTTCTAGGATCAACTGAGATCTGTCCTCACTTACTTCTGTTCCTCATCTGCTTACTCCTAAGACAAGGTTTTTGTGGAAGTAAAAAAGTAGACTCAGGCATTTGTATATTGATGAGAGATCCATCTCACGTGAGAGATGATCTCTCATGTGATGTCATGAGAAATCACAATTTCACTGATCCCACAGAGGCAGGACTTAGCTTTCAGAATAGCGAGGCATGACTGTGATGGGGCTGATGACAAACTATTTGAGCTTCAGGTCAAATAAAGCTGGCCCATCAGATACAGCTTTTAGAGAAGGGGGTAAGTTGCCTTATATTCACTTCTAGTAACTCTGGAAGAGAGCACCTGAATAACATGATTCTTCATTGAGACTTCTGTTGTCTGTCTACCGTTTGGATCAGTAAGGCTCTCCACAGATACAAGGGTCTCTTCATGTGGACCTAGTGCTAAGGACCCTACATAATGGGAGGTAATAGTTTCGTCAGAATAACGGCGATCATATGACATTTTCCTTGCAGATAAAATTGAGCGTGTAGTAGCGTGGTGGTTGGAGACACAGGGCAGAGTAATGATCAAAATGTGACATGAGATTGGTGGCCATTTCTTTGTATGTTTTAACTGGATATGTAATAGGTCAGCTTATCCCATCTGAGTGTAGATCTGCTGCTTCTGTTAGACCATCCTCTGGGATTTGTATATTTGCCATATGTAGAAAGATAGCATACATTAGAATGAGTATATTCAGCACCATTGCCCTGTTACAATCTTTAGCACACTACCAAGGTGTGAAGCCTACGCTCAGATATGTGCTAAAATGGTCTAATCCAACACGAAAAGTTCTCTTTCATACACATCATCTAAAATGTTTGCCGTAGTGATCTCCCCAAGTCTAATTTAGGTAATTTTCTGTCTACTTAGTTTACAATTTTCAGTGGTTAAAAATACTGCTTTTTATATCCTGTACTGATCCAGTGCGTACCGATCCTGTTAGCTTTGGTATGCTTTGAGAGGATAGAACTTGTATAAAGATAAATTGTGATTTAAACTAATCTTAATAAGTAAATATGATCTAGTCTACAGAACAGGTCAATAAATTTTGTTGCTGAGCTCACCTTTTCAATTGGCACCTAGATTTTGACATAAATGATTGAAAACTCCTAGCTGGGACTGCATCAGAAATGGTAAACTAGTTTAAAAGTCCACACTTAAAAACTGGAATCTCACTTCAATCAGTTGCATTATTTGCCATGATCATTTATCTATGGTTGCAAAGGAATCTTGTTTTGTTCTGTGATCATTAGAAAATCTTTTCTGAAACTCTTAACCTTTGGTTTCTGTTCTGGCATTATCTTACTGCAGGAATTGATTATCTGCATCCTGATCTTGCATCAAATTATGTAAGTACATGCTGATCTTCTCTGTAAAATGTGGATTTTCTTATTGTTATAGTCCCTCTGCTACAAAAGTTTAAATAATGAGTGGAACAACAGTACAGTTGAACTGCTGATCTTAGAGATGATACATTTCACATTGAAAGAAGCAGACTAAAAATGGGACTGCCTGTGCAAGGAATGGAAAGGTGACAAGGCTCTTTGTGGAGGAGTGGCAGTGCTGCCTCACATTAAATAAACTGCAGCTTGCAATATTGCATTTAGGACAGAAATGAGTAACCTGGGAATTGGCTCTAAATCCTGCTATTAAGATGCAGAATGCACCTGTCACTTGGAGGGCCACGGAGCTGTGGGCTGTGGCAAGGCATGTATTAGCCTTTGAAACCTCCAGGAACAGCTTAATTCTTTTAGAACAGGTGATTTGATCCAGTGCTTCAATGCATGTGCAGGGCAGATTGTGTATTCTCAGCACACACTGTGTCAACTGATTGTTCCTCAAACCTACGTCAGGCTTCAGACCTTCGGACTAGAGGATTTTTATCTTTCTTAATAATTCCAGGCGCTCCTCAACCCCCCGTTGACACTAGCACTCCCGTCTCCAGGCATCTACGAGGGCTCCCATGGACTGTAGGTTGCCTTTGTGGTATGCTGCTCTCACACTGCACTTGTGGCAGTCCGTTGGGCAATGGAAGCTGTGGCTCCTTGCCGGTGAGGTTACAGTGTCTCTGCTTTAGGTCTTGCTATTCTCCTACAGTCAGTGGCTTCCTGAAGGAAGCCCAGGCTTCTTCAGCTGAGCAATGTGGTTTAGTTTGCAATTGCAATTAAATGAAAAGAACAAAAAAGAAATTTTTTGTTCAACTAGAACAACTAGAAATTTTTGTTCAACTTTGAACAACTAGAAATTTTGGTAAAAACATGAGCCATTCAGAACAGCTCCAAAATGAGAAAGAGTAAGACAATTATTTTTACGTACTTGCAGTTTGGAAAATAATAACACACAGAATGAAAATCTATTTGTTGTTGCAAGTAGAAAAGCACATTTGGTAGAGAATAAATGGATTTAGAAAGTGTTTACTTTGGACAAGGAATTTGGGAAATAGCTGACCACAGAGGTAAAGTGCAGGATAGCCAGTTTTGCTCCTTATGAACTGGCTTAATAACTTGATAGCAGCTAATTAAACCCTGTGCCGTGACTGCAAAATTCTCTCCCAAGAGGAGTAACTCAGTAGGATGTTCCCATAAATTGATACAAATGAAGAAGTTTGTAAAAGGCAGCCTTTTTCTTTGTGGGAATTGTGCTCTGTGTGTATGTTCTAGCATATGATCTGGGCAAAGCATGCGCTTTTTACTCACTTTTCAGCAGCAGGCATGGACAAAGTATGTGGGAATATTCTGGTTCTAAAAATCATGTTTCAAATAAAAAGCAAAAAGTGTATATACCATATCTGATAAAATGTCAAATGGGAACAGTTAGCAGGCCCAGAAGCCAAAAATAGATTTCTCAGTAACACAGTGTTTTCTCTTCCAATTCTAAAAATATTTTCTGTTTGATGGATAAATATTTGTCAGGCTTAGCAGAAATGTATTGTTTTTAGAGTGGCAATAGTGAGTGTTCTGGAAATTAATGGAAAATGGCATGGAGAATGACAATGCACAGACATGGTGCTAGAAATCAGAAAATAGCGGAGCTGGAGAGATATCTGAGAGTTCAGAAGAGAAATACTGGGATGAAAATTGGAGAAGAAAAGCTGTCTGGGTATGGAGACAACAAACCTTTAATGGCAGTCGTGAAAGACTTGTGAGGGTACTGATTTTGAGATGAGAATCTGAAAAGGTTTGTGTAGGGATGACTTTGTCCAAGCAAGGAGCGGTCCAGTAGTGGAGGAATGATCAGGCTGTGGAGGGACAAAAGAAGATTGCCTGGCCAGTGCAAAATGGAGAATTAGGCATGGCTTGTGCAGTGCAGATCAAAGCCAGACACAGGGGACAAAAGACTTGAGGAATGAGTGGTTGGTAAAGGAGCAGCAGAAACCCCATCTGAAAGATCGAAGTCTTAAAGGAGATACCACTGCAATGCTTTTCATACAGAAATACAAAAATATGAGCTATCACATGAAATCTGTGGTTCTAGGCTGTCACAGCATCGGGGGGGGGGAGGAAAAAAAAGCTTCAGTTTGTATAGTTCATCTTTTTTGCCTAAGGTTCACTTTTAATTCCGTGCTGAATATACCAGAGGACACAGCAAGGAAACGTGCTGTTAAATTAGCACATTATATGCAAGGTAACCAGTAAAAGGGTAAACTTGGTAACCAGTAAGAGGTGCTGGCACCTCCTCACGCAGAGCCAGCTGCAGTTGCTGTGTCTGAGAGGTGGCTGGCTGAAGGGCAAGGTTGACCTCTGCTCCCGCTGGTAAAATCTGCCATCTCCTCCCTTGCCCAAGTATAGCACAGCGGTTGCAGGGCTTGGTTCACCTGCACTTTGCCTCTCCTCCTCTTGCTGCAAGGCTGTGCAGGCCTCCTAGAGTCCTAGGAGATCCTGCTCTGACAGCATCTACTGTGTCTCAGAGACCACGGGGGCCTTTTTTCCCAGTAGGTAGTAATTTGGCCATGAACTAAAGACAAGGACTTAAATTCAGCTGAAGAAAAGATCAGTTTAGACCTAAAAATGAAATGAAACGACTCTCTTGGGAATGAGTTGTTAACTCGCTTCGGGGCTGGTATAGCAATTGCAGTCATCCTTGTACAATTCCTGTTCCACATGTTTGGTATTTCATGACATTTGCACTTTGGGGCAGCTTTCTTTTAAGTTATATTGTTTATGTTGAGGAAATTAAAAGCCTACAGCTTATGTTTCTCAAGTCTGTAAATGCCTGCATACCCTGGCAACGTCTGTACATCTTGCTTGGAAAATTGGGAACAGTTAGAAAGTCTCTCAAAGGTGGTGTGTTTGGCACTGCAGCATTTTCAAGTATAAAAACTTGGCTTTGATTACTCCGTTTAATTTGGCTTTTATGTTTTTGACTTGCTGGTTTTCTTGCTTGAATAGTTTAATGGGGGTTAGCACTTAGACAAAAAGGGGGGTCAGGGAAGAGAAAGAGCTTTCTCAAGAAAAAAACATTTTGTATTTTCTCCTAAAAATTACTGAACTATGACCTATCACATGGAGTGTACTCTATCCATATTTTTCTTTGCAGTTTCTGAGCTTTACTGCTTGAATCATCCATTTCTCTTTTTAATGCACTTCATATACATGGAAGGGAGTGTGCCTGCTCACGGTCTGGATGGACTGCTCTCCCAGCACACCCTCTCAGCTTGCTGCAGTATAGCTACTTGCTTTTCTGGGGTCAGGGGGTTACAGCAAAGCTGGAATTTTCCATTTTGTACTGTGAATGCAGAGAGATTCATTGTCAAACAATCGATTTTTTTCTTCCAAGCGTTGGAAACCCTGCAGAGGTTCAGCCTTCGGGAAATTATTTTTTTCCCACAAAGAGAACCCTTCATTATGAACTGATAATTAAAAAGCTGAAGCCTAATATACTCCATGGTTTTCTTTCAACTCAGACTGTACATACAAAGCCAGCAATTTTCAGGACTGACTTCTCCAAGATACAGCATCTGAGCGAGAAAGAAAAGCAAAGTAACAAGGGCTAGATATTAGATGAACCGTGCTGCTTTGACCCTGATGATCTGCCCCATAGAAATCCCAGCTGTAATTGCCCAAGTCAATAGAGCTCACCTATAACTGGTGGCGAGAAGAACATTGCCCTTCCAAGACAGAAATTTGTTGGAAACCCTCTGAAGACCTTGAAAAACTCCCAACGTCTCTGCACTATCATTAATATCAGCCCAGGGGATCCACAGGGAAAATAAAGCCAAACCATAGCAGAGTCGGGTTCATCCTTGTCTAGCGTCGGCGAATGATTTCAGTTAGCTTTATGAGATCCAATTCCTATAGCATGATTTCCAAAAGAGCCTGAGATAGTTACGCTGCCATTTCCTACTGCATTTCAAAGGGTTATTGAGCACATGCACTAGACACTTAATGTCAATAAAGCTTTACTGCTAATACATCAAAGGTATTTTATAGGCATACTCTGCATGCTGGCCACTGATGCTAGTACCTATTTTTAATTGCAATGTTGAAATAATACTAGAAAATTAGAAAATAAGGGAGAGAATAAACTGTTTCAGATGTTTTCAACACTAACTGGATTTTAGATTGTTTGGTTTCATTTGTTTTTTGGTGTTGCTTTGGGGTTGGGTTTTTTGCTAACAGGTTTTCTAAAATAAACACTAGCATAACAATTAAAAATTATCAACCAAAAACTGGGATAAATTCACAAACATCCTTCTACTAACACTGAAGATCTAGTAAGCACACTGTTTGATGGATGCTGTTAAAGTAGATTGTGGCAGAAATTTCATCAAGAAATTGTTGAGACAAAATGAAACGTCTTTTTTGCCGGGATAGAAGGATGGATCAAGTGTTTAAATGCCAGGCTGACTGATGCCTTAGCAACCGAAACTGATGGCCTTCTGTTGGGCTGTTTACGCTGCTCAGGTGGCTTTTGGCACATAGGAGGCTGGTTTTAGCATTTAGAAGATGATCATTCAAGACAAGCAAGGCAATGAAGTTTCACTAGCATAAATTAGAAGCTACTGGGAAGAGAATGAAGTTACCTATTTCAGACTTCGCTATTTTTTTCTGTTATTCTGTGCAGGATCAGCTTCTGGGCTCATCTCTCTGTTCTGTGCAGTGTGTTTTTTCCTCTGAACATACGAAAGGCTGAAAAAGAGATGATGCCTCCTCTGATAAGGTCAGCCAGGCAAATAAGGTTCTCTGTGTACTTGGAAGGCTGTGCTGGGTTTACCATGTGCAGAAAATGCTTCACATCTTGGAAAACATAATGGGGTCCCCCAAATAGTCCTCTCCTCCTCCCCTGCTCCTGACAGTAACTGTTTTTGCAGGTACTTGTTACAGTCGAGCTCGTGTGCTGCAGTCTAAAT